TCTACGACCCCATTGGATTTTTAGCACCCTTCACCTTACCTGTCAAGATAATGCTGCAAAACCTCTGTAAGATGAGCTACAGTTGGGATGAGCACATTCCTCAAAACTACCAGTTGCAGTGGGTGGAGTGGCTAGAAGATCTAAGAAGACTCAGCACTTTCAGTGTGCCGCGATGTTTTAAACCCAAAGGATTTGGACAGCTCACAAGTGCCCAACTACATAATTTCTCTGACGCCAGCGAGAACGGCTATGGCACAGTTTCATACTTGAGGCTGCAGAGTGATGATGAGAAGATCCATGTAACTTTCGTTCTAGGAAAGGCACGAGTTGCTCCTCTAAAGAATGTGACAATCCCAAGGATGGAACTAACAGCTGCTGTGCTGGCAGCGAGAGTTGACAGACTCCTGAAAGCAGAGTTGCAATTAGAGCTGGAAAATTCAATCTTCTGGACAGACAGCACAACAGTGTTAAAGTACATCAGGAACGAAACAAAGCGCTTTCACACCTTTGTTGCCAATAGGGTCTCTGCTATAAGAGAAGCCACAGACATCTCACAATGGAGGTACGTTGACACAAAACGGAACCCAGCTGATGAGGCCTCTCGTGGGGTGAAAGTTGAACACCTTCTCACTTGCAGCAGATGGATCCATGGCCCAGAGTTTATTTCCAAGAGTGAAGAGGAATGGTCTCTTAACATCTTGGATTCAACTTCCATCAGCAGTGATGACCCAGAGGTTAGAGGAGAAGTTTCAGTTAATACTGTCATCATTAATGATGCACCAAATGCAACAAATAACATCTCTGATGAAGACCCACAGAATGCAGTAAATCAACTGATAACCCACTTCTCCTCGTGGAAAAGGCTTAAGATCTCAGTTGCGTGGTTTCTCCAGCTGAGAAAGACGTTGCAGTTGTTGAGTCAAAAGAACAAAGAGGAAGAGGACATGAAAAGATTCAGAGCCACAATGGGTGGTCACGTCTTATTTCCTGAAGATATTGACGCGGCAGAAAGTGTCATCATTCAGTACTGCCAAATGGACAAGTATAGTGATGAAATCACTGCTTTGAAAAAGGGAACATCTGCAGTGAAGAAAAGCAGTCACATTTATAAACTTGATCCGGTGCTGAAACAAGGAATCTTGAGAGTGGGAGGTAGGCTTAGCAAAGGAGCAATGCCTGAAGACACAAAACATCCAGTCATTCTTGCTAAGGACCAACACATCGCCACTCTAATCTTACGCCACATTCATGAACAGTTAGGACACTGTGGAAGAAATCACCTACTTTCCAGACTTCGTCGACAATACTGGATCACCAGAGTAAATGCTGCTGCTAGAAAGATCCTCTCTTCCTGTGTTGTCTGCAGACGATATAGGGGAAAGCTGGGTGAACAAAAGATGGCAGATTTGCCAAAAGAAAGACTGCAATCTGATCTTCCACCATTCACAAATGTGGGCATTGACTATTTTGGGCCGTTTGAAGTGAAGAGAGGCCGCAGCCTCATCAAACGCTATGGAGTTATCTTCACCTGCATGGCTAGTCGGGCAGTCCATCTGGAAATGGCCTATTCATTGGACACCAGTTCTTGCATAAATGCAATACGCAGATTCATTTCCAGGCGAGGCCAAGTATCACACATCAAATCAGACAACGGAACCAACTTTGTTGGAGCAGAACGTGAGCTGAGAGAAGCTCTATCTCATTTGAACCATCAGAAAATTCAAAACTCACTGCTTCATTCTGGAGTGAAATGGAGTTTCAACACTCCAGCCGCATCCCATCATGGAGGAGTATGGGAAAGAGTCATTTGCATGGTCAGGAAAGTGCTGAACTCTATTCTTCATCAGCAACATTTGGATGATGGACTACAAACACTCCTGTGCGAAGTGGAAGCCATATTGAATGACCGTCCCATTACAAAAACCTCAGAGGATCCAAATGTGTATGTGGATAATTATGTAAATGATGCTGTATGATGTCCTTTTGTTGTTCTATTTATGTTTCATGTGGAACTACTTGAGCAGGTCTCCCTTGAAAAAGAGATCAATGATCTCAATGGGATTTATCTGTATAAATAAAGGTTTGAAATTAAATGAAAATGATCTCGAACCCCTGTCTCCAAATCACATTCTCTTGTTAAAAGGCAAACCTTCTCTACCACCCGGGCTTTTTGACAAAAATGACTCCTACTCCAAACGACGATGGAGGCAAGTTCAATTCCTTGCCAATCTCTTTTGGCACAGATGGATTCAGGAGTATGTACCACTGTTGCAAGAGAGACAACGGTGGCCAAAAGACGAGAGGAACTTTGTCACAGGAGACATTGTCATCGTAGTGGACTCTAATGCCCCTCGCGGATCCTGGCTGTTGGGCAAGGTACTGCAGACCTTTCCCGACAGACAAGGACTTGTGCGGTCGGTTAAAGTCTGGACGAAGTACAACATCCTGGAGCGACCAATCACGAAGATCTGTCTTCTATTGGAAGCTGAATAAAGACTGAAACCCAACTTCTATTATTGGGGTTACCAACCCTATTGGATTATCTATGAACAATGAACATTATGGATTGAGAATACTGATATGGACTATTCTATTTGGCTGCAATGTTTTGTATTTTGTTGAATTGTTATGTTATTATACAGTAACAATTAGGAGCCGGTGTGTTGCAGCCAATTTGATGTATTTTAATATTTGTATATGAAGGTGCTGTGATACTACTGAATTGACCTGGGCATAGGCGGGGACTCAGCCAATTTCAGGGTACAGCCTACTATTTGGGGAGGACACAGGTGCACAGCATTAGGGATTGGGAATCACCAGAGGGAAGCCACACAGTTTTTCAACCGTGCGTGTTTTCGCTTATTTTCTGTTTGTTTTGAGTTAATTTCGGTTTATTTCTTTATCACAGTTAGTTGTTTAGTTATCAGTTAAACACCCGGCTCTCGTTTTGCTGTCATCATCCTGCAATCCAAATAAACATCTTAAATGCACTCAAAGAGAAGACCTGATTTGCTGTCAACACCACGCGTCTGGAAAAGCTTCACACCACATCCCTCACTGGCAAATATTTGTTGTTCGGTTGCCTTTACAGGTAGATAGGCTGTATTTACACCATAAAGGTGCACAGCTGATATAAAGGGACACCTAGTGGTTAAAGCATGTTATTGAATTTCATTATTTGTATTATTAGATATTAATAGGATCCCTATAAAGTATATTCATTACTCGTTATTCTCTACTAATAGTTCATTAAAGACTGTATATAATGACTATTTTGCACATCCCTTTCAAGATTTCAAGATTTTCTAAGGTTTATTGACATATCATATAGGCCTACACAACTATGGTGTAGTTATGCATTGAATGAAAAACTTGGGTCGCAGGTTCCTCAATAGTGCATTACAAGACATCTATCAATATTTGTGCATACCTCCAGCAATGTTAACTATGTTGAAGCACTTATTTTAACTGATATTATACATAATGTATTATACTCTTATAAGATGTATGTAGATATTTAATCTCCGGCCTTGTCAGGTATTGAACAATCAATAAATAAAGAACACAGAATTGTTAAATATAAAACACAGAATTTGTGTGATTATACTAAATGATTTACAAATAAACACCACTGCATATTTACAACTGTTACACATGCTGATGTAACGCAAATGTTCCAACTTGGGATCAATAAAGTATATCTTATCTTAAGCTGATCGATGGCTACTGCCATATTTGCAAAATTTGCCTCTGAACCTTGCAAGTGCATGTTTCAGGCTTATCAATTAATGTAATGTAATGTAATGTTATCAATTAACAACAGGGGTCACAAACATAAGACCAGCTGTTAAATAAAGCTCTTCTGACCTTAGCTGGCATGTGTGTATATATTAATACTGCCCATTATAGGCACAAGCAATTTTCACCCATTTTTAATTATATGTTTTAAATTTGAGTGTTTCCTATCCCCTAAACCTCCAGGGATGTACACAGTTTAATACTGGCAACTTCTTATGGGAAATACGAAAACGTCTTTTAAAACTACAACTCCCAGTAGAGACGTGCCATAGATAGAGAACATGTTGCGAAACACAATAGCCAGCATGTGTAGTTCTGTGGACGGGGTGGGGGAGGGGGGGACGCGGTGGACCCGTTCAAATCCAGTTTTGGAAAGTCTGCCGTGGTTCCATCCCATTTCAAGTGCTGTTCGAGGCTCGGCGTAACCCTCGGAGCACACTCTCCAATCACAGAGATTGAGGACTATCACGGGGTTTGTCAAACAGAGCACATGGTGTAGTCCAAACGATAGCTGGGGATTCTGGGTGTAGTGTCTTCTGCCATCCTTTACTCCGAAAAATATTTGTTTCTCCGAATCGAAGGGGAAAAATACAAAAGCATTGCACACAATTTAAACCAATCAATGTTGTGTAATTAACAAGGATAATCTGGTGTTTTTTAGTCGATGAGTAGTGCAGATATCACTGTAAAATCAATCGACAGTAAGGGAAATACTTACTTCCGGGTGTACAATTCTCCGTTATCCAATGAGAATGGACGCTTACATTGCCTTTTAAGGTCAGCCAACACAAACGAATGCCGTGCTTCCATGAGCGTCAAATCCCGCCGCAGATGGGAATACATTGCAATCAGTTGAAAGCTATTTGCGTCCCTTTATGAAGCTGAAGGAGCCTAGCGTCACAACTGCACGCCACGGACACTGACCAAACGTCGCTCCTGGACGATTATGGAGTGAGAGTGTGTTGGATAAACACCTCTACAAGTTACTGTACATGTTATATCTATTTAGAAAAACTGGAGTGTAAATACAGGATTATGTAGTTTATCAATGTGTCCAGTCTTAATGGTACTGCTGTGTTGGCATTAGAATATGACTTCAACCAGTTTTTAACAAATACTATAAACAAAATACAGTGCCCACAAGTTCTCGACAAAAGGTACAATATTAAAGAATCTAGTAATGAATGTACATGTGTCTGAGCCACTTTCAAATGTTGTTTTTATTGGCATTTTCATGTAAAGTACCACTTATAAAGGTCATGAACTACACGGAAATCCCGGTCTCTTGACATGTGGTCGCAGGCGAGGCAGATGGGCTGAAGGAACTCGTTGTATACGGACAGGAGATGAGGGGTGGCCATGAAAAACTTCCTCCACTCAAAGTAACGCATGTACGCCTCGTCCTTCATGCCCAGCAGAAACTGTGCCAGTGACTTTGCATCAGGGAAATCGTTGATGTGAATGAAGGCGTCGGAGGGAAGGAACTGCTCGTAGTTTTCTCTTGGCGGTCCCAATACTACAGGGACCGCCCCGGCCACGAGGGGCCCGTTAACCTTCTCTGTGATGTAGTCTCTGTGGACTGAGTTCTCAAACGACAGGTAAAACTTACAGCTGGCTATGGTGGAGTAGTAGTCCTCGTAGCTCAAACGCTTCCCTCCAAAGGCTGCACCGAAGACGTGGATTTCGACGTGTTTGGACAGTTCATGATAATATTTCTCTCTCACAGCTGTTCCAGTGTGATGGTCAGTGTTACTGACTATCCAGCACACCAGTTTGTCTTTTTTTGGCAAAACAAAGTCCTCTGTCATTTCTGTCTTCCTGATAGTGAGATAATTCCTCACCGTGACGTCAGCGTCTCTCCTGTAGCTCAGTGTTAAGTTGAACAGGTTGTCCAGACCAGGGATCTTTGCTGTGTTTGACGGGGATTCTACGTGGAACCAAATCCACTTCTGAAAAGTCGGACGTGGATCCTTCGGCATGTTTTGTAACCCATGGGAGATATCTTTATGGTAGAAAATGACTCCCTTGGCCTTGCTGTAGAGGGATCTGTCATCTGTCAGAACACAGCTATCAATGTTGAAGTGGGTCAAGCAACCTTTGAGATCAAACTTGACACCGATGGGCCAGAACCACAGCAGGACTATGGGCTTTGTCGGAGTAGGTGTAGGAGTAGGAGTAGGAGCCCATGGGCTCCCAGGAGATCGAACGTTGTAATACAGAGTGATTGTAAGAGCAGAGCAAATAAGGCAGATGAGAGCTGCTAACCACCATTTCTTCTTATAGTCTGGTCCCAACATCTGTGGAAGAAGAAGAGTTTGATGATTACAAAAAAAGTAAGAGTTAAATGTATAAATCTCAAAATATTAACAACTGAGATTAGCGAATATATGTGTCTTGATTAAAAGTTGAAGAAGGTACAAGCTTCTGTACATAACAACTTCTGGGGAAGAGTCAATTACAGCTCCCAAGGTGCATTTCTACTGCGTAAATCACTTTGTTAATGTAACACGTTGTAACACTTCTTATCTTGGGCTATGCTATCTGACTCGAAAGATTCTGAGTTCTACTAGAGTGGATAGACAGGTAAGTAATTAGACCAGAGACCAGGTGGTTTGAATAGAACAGCCGGCAATTTACTGGCGAAATAGACAAATAGACAAAACATTAAACAGACAATGAATATTTTCTGCAGTATGATCAGAGGTAAGTATTTCACCTTTCCCTTGTTTTCTGATTTCTGTGACTTAGTAAATCGTATGGATAAAATAAAATAGCCTATATTAGTTTAGACCAGTGGTTCTCAAATGGGGGTACGTGGACCCCTAGGGGTACGTTGGAGTACTGCAGGGGGTACGTGAGATTTTATTTTATAAGTAATGCATTTAAACAAACTACTAATAGTAGATCAACTACTTTATTCAAAGGTTTACAGTAATTCTGGATAATAAAATGGGAAAAATAAACGGGGTGCTCTCTTTTCCTCTCCCTCTCCTGACAGCCTGTCAGTCTCGTGGAGCTCGCTGAACCTGTAATAAGTTACCCGACAGTAAAGAATACATATATTTATAACTAGTTTATCTAGTTCCAGAGTAGATGAACTAGCTAAGTCTGTTAGGTCTAACTCTTAGTGTATTTTGCTCCACTCAACGGTCCGTCACAGCGGGGAGCTGTGATCCGGTAGAGCTGCGTGTTCTCCGTCAGCAGCAGCTGATCTGATCTCTGATCTCTCTCTCGCGTCCGGTTAGACTTCACTCGCGTTTATGTCCGAATCTATCAGATCTAGCTAGTTCTAGCTAATGATATGACTGCCTGCTTATCAAAGGACACCTAAACAATACGCGTTGCTTGGCAACGGCGCGTGGCCGCAAAGTATAGCGCAGCATTATGCATATGTTTATATGAGGGGTCAAAATCCCATGCTCATAAAATGCTCATATATTTTTTTCTCTTCATTCCCCATGCCCCTAAATATATAAATATTCAAATTTTCGGAAAAGTAACGAAGTTTGAGCAGTGTGGGTTTTATATGAACAGAGTTACACATATTTCAAAACACGAAGTGTAATAACTGCAGTTTGCCTCCCTGTCAGAATGACAAAGATCCTCAGTGAAGCACAAGCCCATGTTTCTCAATACATTGTACAACTTATTAAAAAGATCAGTTCAATGCAACTAATGTCGTCTCAGTGTTATTGCATGATGTTAAAATTGGTTTGCATGTATTTAGTGATGAATTGTAAACATTTGAAATGCAGCATTTAAGTGATTCTCAGTTAGGCTTACAAGGTTGTTGTTTTAATAAATCAGACACCGATGGTGCAGCACTGTACTGTACCTCTTTATATAGGCCTTTTTTCCTTAACAAAATGTTTTTGTGCTGATCAGGGTACTTGGCTGAATATTTTTTTCAAAGGGGGTACATTATTGAAAAAAGTTTGAGAACCACTGGTTTAGACCAGTGTTTCCGTCAGACCAGGGCTGAGAGGGCGTCCGCCCCGAGAGCGGGGTGAATTTTGACTTGAACCGTCCCTTAAAGATACTGTCTTTTTACGTTAGTGAGCCGGATCATTTGGCTCTTTCGGCTCCCAAACGGCTCTTCATGTTACCAGAGTTTACCACGGAGCCTCAATTTCGCCGCTGCGAGGCTCTGGTGCTCGCAGCTCACGTGCCTGCTCCACTAGCACCGCTCATCCCGTCCAAATCGTGCAGGTTCCGTGTAGTCCTGTAGCAGGCACCGCCGATGTCGGGGAAACGATCTTCAATACTCCGAAAATATTCCCACCAGACTCCTTTGCCCCTCCAACAGAGGGATTGTCCTTTTCGTCATTTCAAACGATAAAAACTCTCGATCTTCTCTCGAATTATTAATATTTTTGGACGCCCTCGGCTCGAGTTCAGGGCGTCCCGAGCTGAATAAGAGCGTCAAATGACGGCAAGACGACCCCCTGGCTGAAACGCTGGTTTAGACCGGTCTACTAAGTATTATTTATAGGTTGTTCCTATTTTAATCTCTTTAATATCCTGAGTTAACTCTTTTTCTTTTCCCTTTTCACAGGTAAAACATATCTAAATCAATGAAAAAAACACAATTGTACCATCAATGAAAACATATGACAAATTAAAACCTAGAATACAATATATAGTGTCTCTTTCAATCCAGGTACAACTTAAATCCAGTTCCAATTTATAATTTCTTCAGTTCTGATCAAATAAAATAAACTCCAATACTCCTACCACTGGCAGCAAGTTCACCTATTGTCTCTTGAGAAACACTGGCGCGAAGATCAAAGCAGTCTGTGGGTCTGGCTCGCCATCTTGTATCAGAGCGCGTGTGTGTTGTCCTCTCACTCGCGCAACACAACTCGATCGATCAACTTTCTTATCCAGTCCAAAAAACCTGACCAAAACACCGTTGGTTATACCGTCTACTGGGTTTCCCGACCGTGTGGGTCAGGGATGGGCAAATGGCGGCCCGGGGGCCGCATGCCCCACCTCCTCTTTTTGCGGCCCTCAGCTACATTTATAAACAACGTAATTAATTTTTTTTAAAAAGAAAAAAATATATATATTAATGTTTTCTACTTGTAGTACTGATACCGTCCACTAGACTCCTAGTTACGTCGTGAGCTGCGTACCTGATTTCAAATACCATGAAATAATCTATGACGCGTTTGTGTGTATTGTGTTTGTTTCCCGGGAAACACTCACAAGAAACACCGGCTGTTGTTATGCCTGCTGTGACGTTAAGTTGCCGCTTGTAATTATGCCTTTACAAGCTTAAAAGTTGTATTTATCATCTGAATAAGGCGAAACAAGTTTAATATTCTAAAAACCAAGACTTTGTTTATTTTAAATCAGATGAAAGCAAACTGTCACGGAACCTGCCGTGTAATCTATGATTACTATACGCTTTTCATTAATAATTTCAGCGGGAGGGAGGGGGAGCACCGCTGAGGAACAGCAGAGTGCGGGTTGACAGGTCTGTGTTGTGGAATAAGGGGAATGCAGAGACAGGCTACAAGTGTCTTAGGTTCAAGTTAGACAACTAATGTCTGGGTTAGTGTTCATGACTTCATGTTTATGTCATCTTAATGGTTAATCTCAATGCAAACACATTTTCCGTGCTTTCCAACAGTTTAAAATAGTTTTATTCCACTGTTAAATAACCTGTTCAATACAAACATGCCACTTGAAGAAAATTGAAGTAACGTGATACAGCAAAAAGTTGAATACAGCGTATTTTTGGTATATTCATTTTAATGTCACCTGATATATAAGAAGTGTGTTGCATTATGTTATCACTATTATATGTGTGGTTTTATATATTCCTGTGTGTTAAATTTGAAGGGACAAAGTAGGCCTTGAGAATTGAGTCACACAGTTAAGGTCTGAATTATCAATAAATGTATTCAGTCCAGTAAAGCGGACTTCGAGGTGAAAGGAAGTTCACAGAAGCCCTTAAGCTCCAAGAACAATTAACTTATGTTAATGATAAAGATGTGTGTGTGCGTTAAAGATGTCTGGGGAAAAAGTGTGTCTATTGCAGCATAGATGGGATTACTGCTCAAACTATATCTGTGTTTGTGTTCTATTGATTTCTCTGTTTTATTCTTTCATAATGTGAGGACTGAATTGCTACAAACATTGTGGAGAAGTTGGCTTAAACATGTTTTATTACTCTGTATGAAGAAGGAGCAGTTGTGCAGGACAGGAGACTAGGTGGGGGAGGAGACATTCTTCTTAAGATCTCCAGCCTGTCAAGTATCAGGGAAGTCTACATATCTTGAATAATATATGTGTGTGTTTAATTACTTTGTATTAATGATAGCAGTCTGTGTAACCAGAAGCTGGAAAGATGAGAAATGAAACCTTTGTATTTGGATGTATTCATAATCTTTGTGAGCGAGGGAATATTCTTTGGACACAGCTCGGGTCTCTGGAATGCTGCATGATGGGTGTGTGTGAAAGTCTATGCAAGAATATGTGACAACGGACACCAGATGTGTTTGTTTTGCTACAACCTAAGAGACTCTTGTTTCCGGATCATTTGGCTGGCTCGCGCTGATTCGCTACGACACGCCATCGTTTTGTATCTCCCAATGAGATGACCTGAAAGGAGGAGCATCTGACACAGCTCCTCCTGTTTTGTTCTTGTATGTAAGCCTGTTCTGTCTTTGGTTCGTTCTCTCTTCCTCCTGCTCCCAAGATGGTAAATCCTTCCAGCTGGAGGAACCAGAGCCGGAGTAATCCGGATTACTTCGTGATTGTGTTGTATTTTACCATTAAAGCAGATTATTGTTTAACCCTTATCCTGGTTGCTTTGAGTTTTCCTTCTTTTAAAACAAACTCATATAGGAACGGCGCGGAGCAGAGGTTCTGCCCCAACAGAACTGATATTTGTTTAGTGAGCTTATTAGAGGATGTTCCCTGAAAGATAGTAAAATGTCAATGAAGATGTCAGACTTAGTATATTTGTTAATAATTACATACAACACATGGCATTTGTGTGTGTGTGTGTGTTCCAAGTGAATCTGCAGCCCCCTGGTGGCCATTACATCAATTATGTGGCCCCCACCAGTACCCATCACTGGTGTGGATGGTATTTTTTATCTTTTTTAAATAAACTTTGAATCACTCCGCTGGTCTCATCTGCTTCTCGCTCCGTTTCCTCTCTTTTCTCCTGCTACGCTGCGCTGCGCGTCCTATGGATCTAATTTCCTGCCATAACTCCACAAACAAACTAAACAGGTTTTACAAATGCCTCATGATTCACTAACAAACACATGCAAATACAAAACACCATCTAAAAACTAATGCATTTAGTTTTGCAAAGAAAAAACGTATCTATCAAACAAACACATACATTTTTTCTAATAAATCATGTTTCAGAGACAAATTCAGCATTGGTTTTACAAGTACACAACTTTTTCTTCTCACGGCAGAATATTACTGTCAAAAGTCACGTGACTCGCTCACGTGACTTTTGGCAGTAACCGCCATGGCTGGCTCATACCAAGCCCCCAGGAAGTGCGCCGGACTCTGATGAGAATATTCGTTGTGGCCAAACGGCGATACTACACTTCCGTTAGGTTGCTGGGCCCGGAAAGACTTTTTCCCATTGACTTACATTGGGAAAGAGTGGTCTGTAAATCGGTGGATAATTTTTTGTTAAACTAAATAAACTACCGAGTATGAACGTTTGTATAGCCCTTATTAAAAACATTTGGTCCTCAAGTTGTAAAATGTGCTAATAACGTTATTCTGAGAGTTATTTTCCTCGGCATTCTGAACGCGCATCCAACCCACGGGACCGCGCTGCCCGGCACGTTCATGTTACGTGTTCTGACTGTAACAGTTTGGAGGATTTAGCAGCCTGGTATATTACAGAGTTTTAGCGGCATATATATATATATATATAAATATTAGGGCAAAAAAAAATGAACGCCACTAATTATTTTAACGCGATTAACGCATGTGTATTTTTTGTCCTCGGCCGCCCCGTAGTTTCAGAGCGCATCGAGTTTAAAATACCATCTACAAGCTGATGCTGACCATTTTAGACACAGGCTTATTATATTTACAGCCCTTAATAACATCCATTTTCTGGGCTCAATGTGTGTCTTGGCCGTTTTCGTTGTGATCGCTAAATTCCCCTAGTTTCCCCTTGTTTAAAATATCACCGTTCTAATCAAACGAGTGTTTTTTGTTTTGAAATCACTTCCGCGAGTTTCGCGACCGCCCCCCCCCTCCCTCCACTGACCATTAGACCATTTAGTAAGGTAAAAAGCAAAAGGGCAAAAAGGCCTCTCAGACGCTCTTCCGTTTACTTTTTTAATAAAGAAAAACAAATTCATTCACAAAGATTCATCTCCCTCCATCATGTTGATTTGAAGCAGAAGTTCTAAACATGAGCCCGCCCCGCTCGACCTTCTGAGCCAATCACAGCGCGATAATGACCTGCCTTCTGTTTCAACCACTCCTTCCGTTTCCACTATACTTTCTCTCACACATACATGCATTCTTCTCTTGCATACATACATTAGGCTTGTTTGAGACGAATTGCGGCTCGCCTCGAAAGTAGACGAGAATAGCCGATCGCAGCCGGGGGAGGTCTCAAAAAGTTCGCCTGAAGTCGGACAGCTCGGAGTCCATGCTCGGAGTCGGCTTCGTCTTCTTCTTCTTCTCTCGGTTTTTTGGCGGATTGCAAACAACTTTAAGGTGCATACCGCCAACTCCGGAGTCGGCTTGACTCGGTTTGCATTTATAAAGAATGCACACGTGTTTATTCGTTAATGTCAGATATGTACTAAGTAAATACATTTGTTCCTGCTCAAGATTAGATTCAATTGTATTGTTATTGCACATATTACAGGTACTGAGACAACGAAATGCACTTTAGCTTCTAACCAGGAGTGCGACAAGCAGTAAAGTGAAAAGTAATGTACACAATCTACAGAATAAAATATAGAATGAATTGAATGATGAATAAACAGGGTATGAATACACTAGATATACACAGCAGCCTGTGAGTATGAACAGTGTGTATGAATATGCTATATAAAGTATGAAAACGGTAAGCAGTGCAAGTATAGTATAAAATATATAGATATTAATTTCATGATGATAAACATTGTGGAACGATGATGAAAAATGTGAACGGAAGGGGCGACGTAAAACTGACACAAAACAACAACAAACTTTTGCCGAGCCAATTGGAGAGTTTCATCAGCAGCACGTGGTAAAAACCACCAATGAGCGCTCAGCTCGAGATACCAGCGAGTCGTTTCCCATCAAGCATTTCGCTTCCGCAGCCCGTGGAGAGGAACTGCGCCGACTCGCCGCGCCTCGCTCTTATACGGTACGTCCACACTGCAGCTTTAAACACACTAGGCTTGTTTGAGACAAGCAAGACCTGCGCAGACCTGCGCAGTTGCGATCAACGTCTTGCTAGTGCGTTGCATGATGGTGAGTCATTTTGTCCGACTTGCTCTGGAGGCCCGCCCACATGAGACTTTGAAATTTCGCGGGACAAAGACGCCCGCAGCCTTGAGAGCGAGGCGAGGCGAGTTGGCGCAGTTGCTCTCCACGGGCTGCGGAAGCGAAATGCTTGATGGGAAACGGCTCGCTGGTATCTCGAGCTGAGCGCTCATTGGTGGTTTTTACCACGTGCTGGTGATGAAACTCTCCAATTGGCTGGCAAAAGTTTGTTGTTGTTTTGTGTCAGTTTTACGTCGCCACATCCATTCCCATTTGTCATCATTGTTCCACAATGTTTATCATCATGAAATTAATATCTATATATTTTATACTATAGCCTACTGCTTACCGTTTTCATACTTTATATATCTTAGCATATTCATACACACTGTTCATACTGCTCACAGGCTGATATCTAGTGTATTCATACCCCACTGTTTATTCATCATTCAATTCATTATATATGTTATTCTGTAGATTGTGTACATTACTTTCCACTTCACTGCTTATTGCACCTGGTTAGAAGCTAAACTGCATTTAGTTGTCTCAGTACCTGTAATATGTGCAATAACAATAAAGTTTCTCTTTAAAGATCAAATGCAAAGCTTCCAAATATGCTACATTTTTATAGAAATGTTGTTTTTAAGACTGCCTGTATTTTTTATTTTATTTAAATCGAGATAATACACCCAAAAAAAAGCTTTTTATTGATCCAAAACTCGACCCAAAGCCGTCTGAATTTCTGACATGTAATTCCCAGCAGCCTCCGCGCGCGTGACGTAATAGTGGCCAAACAGTCTCTGGACCAAATATCCCGACTCGGCAGTCTCTGTCACATGTTTTTCGAAAAGAAAACTGAATTAACATGGGTTATTGTTGAGCTTTTTGTTGTACGAACGGTGCGGGATCTGGGAGAGTTTTACATGCATTTCCCAAAGACCAAATAATCCGCAAAAAATTGATTTTTTTTTGTGAATCGTGTTGGATGGTGTTACAGCCGCTGCTACCTTGGTGTATGTAAATGAGCTGTGCAGTTCCTCTGCTGTCATTGGCCGTCCGGACCGCTCAACATCCGCGGGGATTGGACAGACGTCGCCCAACCCCTGCTCGCTTCTGTCACGTCATCCGGGGGAGGAGTATAAAGGCTGAGCACGGACAACAGTCGAGAGGCTCTGTATTTTGTGTCAGATGCCTCAACCCTATCCTTGTGATAAGCCTTCCTTCTGTGAATTCTGAGAATTCTGAGAGTATTTAGCCGTGTGTCTTTTGTAGTAGCTCCACTGATTAGCAGTGTCTGTAGTAGGGTTCTAGGCGAGCACACTGAGTAGCAGTGTGTCGTCGGGTTCTGTGTTAGCGTAGGGATTTTGTGTGTGTGTATACTGCTTAGATCCAGGTTGGTTATCACCTGTCGACCAGCATTCCTGTGTGTTTATACTGCTTAGATCCAGGTTGATTAGCACCTGTAGACCAGCGTTCCTGTGAGTGGATATTGCGTAGAGCCAGGTGATTAGCACCTGTAGACCCGCACCAGCTGTGTGTTTCCACAGTCCCGTTTTGTTTATTGTTTGTTTCCACTTTAGTAGTGAGATTTGTTTTTCTTTGTGTAGCGGGGCAACTCTCTTTTGGAGACCCTTTGTGTTGTGTTATAGTGACAGATTGACCCGTGTTGTGGGGCCAATCTGTGTGACCATCATTTTTACTTAGTTTCAGTAACAATAAAACCACCGGTAACGAATATACCAAATCCAATCTGGTCGTGTCGTTTCCCGTTTGTACCCTAGCCAAGTGGGAACGTAACACGTGGGGACTCGTCCGGGATCAATTTAAAGCAATTCCTGGGGTTATAGGTGGGTTTATTGTGGCAGTAAACGTGTTGGCGGTACACCCAGGTATGGCGTCGTTTGACATAGAGGCGTTCTTAGTCTGGCCGTGTTACGAGCAGCTGGACCGATGTAAAAAAGATGAGTTAATAGAGATAGCGCGGCACTTCAGTCTGGTGGTGAATCGGCAAATGGTAAAGAAAGAGTTGAGGGCATTGGTAGTGGATGAGATGGTGAGAAAGGGCTTATTAGTACTGGCTGTATCTGCTGAGCTCCCAGTGTCCAAAGGTCTAGTTGAAGACCCGTTAAGTCAGGGGCAGGCGGCGGAGTTTATCGCTACGGAAGAAAAGAGTGGTGACAGCGAGGGGGGCGAGTCGTGTGAGGTACCGCTCACGCCGCCTCGCAGAGGTCCACCCTCTTCTGTGGGCAGCACAGATTCCCGGGTAGGGAATAAACTGAAAATCCGTCTCGCCCGGCTTCAGCTAGAGGCTAAGGACAGGGAGCAAGACAGGCAGTTTCAGTTGGAAATAAGGAAAATCGAGGCAGATAAAGAAGTCCGGATCCGGATACGGCAGATGGAGCTAGACTCCGAACTGCGCGCATCCGGTGTTGTTGGCAATCTTCGAGAAAGCTTTTCACTTCCTTCTCATCCACCTGCCTTCAATGTAGGGAAAAATGTTGCGTTGGTGCCGGTTTTCCGTGAGGCTGAAGTGGATGCGTATTTTGGTGCGTTTGAACGCATGGCCGCGGCATTACAGTGGCCGGCTGACGCCTGGGCTCTGTTAGTGCAGTGTAAACTTCACGGGAGAGCTCAGGAGGCGGTTGCTGCTCTTTCACTGGAGGACAGCCTAAGTTACGACCTGGTAAAGCGTGCCATACTTAGGGTGTACGAGTTAGTTCCCGAGGCTTATCGGCAGAAGTTCAGGAATCACAGAAAGGGGGCTAATCAAACACATGTCGAATATGCCAGGGAGAAGGGGATGTTGCTCCATAAATGGATTGATTCATGTGACGCTGCAGAGTATTCTGCCTTTAAAGAATTAATCCTGATGGAGGAATTTAAGAGGGGATTACCTGACCGTATTGTGGGGCATATAAATGATCAGAAAGTGCAATCTCTCTCCGCAGCTGCTGTACTGGCAGACGAATATGTGCTGATGCATAAAACGGTGTTTTCTCCGGCTATTGCTGAGAACTCTCGCCGCATGCCGGGTGCACCTGTTGGTCAGCCAGCGAGAGTGTTTACGAGGAACAAAGAGGAGAGAGAATGTCACTATTGTCATCAGCCTGGGCATCTCATTAATAATTGCCTAATTTTTGAAGCGGAAGGAGCAGCCACCAAACGTGACCAGGCCGAAAGGCATCGGCTTAATTAACACTAACTCACTCAGTATTTCCACACCTGACAATGAGGAGGAAATAGATCCCTGTTTTAAGCCTTTTGTGTTCGAGGGATTGATTTCACTAACAGGTGAGTCAGACGATCAGAGACCTGTCCGCATACTACGAGACATGGGAGGCTCACAGTCAGTGATTGTTGCCTCGGCTCTACCATTTTCCGAACAATCAGCGTGTGGGTATGGATCGACTTTATGTGGCATTGAAATGGGTTATGTGCCCCGGCCCGTACATAATGTACATGTACAATGTAAATTAATTACTGGATTTTTCCCTGTTGCTGTGTGCCCAGCATTACCCATAAGGGGTATAGTTTTCCTAATGGGAAATGATATCGCAGGGGGTAAGGTAACCCCTGCATTAGAAATATTGGATTCTCCTCAGCTTGTAGTGCCTGAAGTAAACCAGGCCCACATTTTCCCTATTTGTGCTGTCACTCGCGCGCAAGCGCGTAAGAGTAACTCGGAAGTGTCGCTAGATGATACTATGTTTGGGAAAATATTCACAGAGGACAAAATACCGGAGGAAAAGCCAGCAGTGGAGGTTGCTGCATCCTCCGCGTTCCCGGCTGGAACCGCTGCGCCAGCGCAACCTGCCAGCCCAGCTGTTGACTGTTCCACACTCCCGGTAACCCGAGAGCGTTTACTCGCCGCGCAGAGGGCGTATCCGACGCTTGTGAAGTGTTTCGAGCAGGTGGTGAGTAATGACAAAGCAAGGGGTGAGAAGGTGGCTTATGTGTTGGATAAGGAGATATTAGTGCGCCAATGGTCCCTCACTGCTACTGCTGAAGCTGACTGGAGTGTAGTGCATCAAGTAGTCGTGCCGGTGCCATACCGTCAACATGTGTTATCTGTCGCGCATGAAAGTCAATGGTCGGGACACTTGGGCGTGACTAAAACGTATCAAATAATTCTGAAGCATTTCTTTTGGCCAGGTTTAAAGAAAGATGTTTCTAGCTTCTGCCGCTGCTGTCATGTGTGCCAGGTTGTCGGTAAGCCTAATCAAAAAATTCCGCAGGCTCCGTTACATCCTATACCGGCTATAGGTGAGCCCTTTGACCGGGTGTTGATAGACTGTGTTGGTCCTTTACCACGTACGAAAACAGGTCAACAGTATTTACTCACGATAATGTGTACGGCGACTCGTTTTCCGGAAGCGATTCCGCTGCGTAGCATTACTTCAACATCTGTAGTTAAGGCCTTGACGAAGTTATTTTCTACATTTGGAATTCCGCGAGTAATCCAAAGTGACCAAGGGACACATTTTACATCTAAATTGTTCAAACAGGTCCTACAAACACTGCAGGTTAAACATGTGATATCCAGTGCGTATCATCCAGAGTCGCAGGGGGCATTAGAACGGTGGCATCAGACTTTAAAAAGCATGCTGCGAAAATACTGTATGGAGACAAAAAAAAATTGGGATGAGGGAATTCCTTTCGTTTTGTTCGCAGCCCGTGAAGCTGTTCAGGAGTCATTAGGATTCAGTCCCGCGGAGCTCGTTTTCGGCCATACGCCCCGCGGACCACTTAAAATCCTACACGATGAGTTTCTTTCGGCTGATAGTCCTCCTGAGAAAAACGTACTAGATTACGTTAGTCAGTTCCGTGAGCGTTTGCACCGAGCAAATTCACTCGCTAGATAGTCGCTCTCCGCTTCACAAGCGGTTATGAAGCGTAACTATGACCGTGCCGCTGTCCCTAGGCACTTTGAAATAGGTGACAAGGTCCTTGCACTATTACCTATCCCCGGCTCTGCGCTCTCAGCCAAATTCCTCGGGCCGTATGAAATCCTTGATTGTCTCAGTTACACCGATTACGTGATTGGTACTCCCGAGAGACGACGAGAAACGCGTGTCTGCCATATAAACATGTTGAAGCGATATCATGCACGCACCGTCACTGATAGTACGCCAGGCGGCTCATGTAATCAAAAAATAGCTGCTTCGGCGTTAATAGTGGTAAATAGTTCCGGCCCCTCTGACGACGGGTTGGTGATGCGCTCACATCACCAGCCGGGTGCTCGGTTATGCAACTCGGAGATGGTAGAGAAACTGCCGACCACGTTAGGTCATCTGCAGGAGAGCCAGCAGAATGACGTAACCCAGTTGGTGGATGATTTCCCGTGCCTTTTCCATGATGTGCCCACACAAACTAATGTGATAAAACATGACATTGATGTAAAAGGTGCGAGGCCAATCAAACAACATCCGTACCGCGCCAATCCCACCAAACGCGCACTTATGAAACAGGAGGCTGACTATCTTGTAGCAAATGGCCTGGCGACACAGAGCTCTAGCCCATGGTGTTCGCCGTGTCTTGTAGAGGCGAAATCTGATGGTTCTCCGTGCTTTATCACGGACTACCGTAAGGTGAACGCTGTTACGGTAACAGATTGCTACCCATTGCCGAGAATGGAGGATTGCATTGACAATTTAGGTTCCGCTAAATTTGTCAGTAAATTGGACCTACTTAAAGGTTACTGGCAGGTACCTTTAACGGACCGTGCCTCAAAAATCTCCGCTTTCGCTACGCCTGACTGTTTCCTGCAATATACAGTCATGGCGTTTGGTATGTGTAACGCTCCCGCTACATTTCAAAGATTGGTGAATACTGTCCTCTCCGGAATAAGCAATTGTAACGCGTATTTGGATGACCTCATTGTGTACACGCCCACATGGGAGATGCACATGAAGATTCTGGGGCAGGTATTCACCCGGCTCGCACAGGCGTCTCTTACTTTGAATCTGGCCAAATGTGAGTTTGGTAAAGCTACGGTCACCTATTTAGGAAAGCAGGTTGGGCAAGGCCAAGTTAGACCAGTGGAGGCTAAGGTTACTGCGGTGGCTGAATGTGCGGTGCCCGGCACCAGGAGTGATCTCCGCCGTTTCCTCGGTATGGCAGGCTACTACCGCAGTTTCTGCCGCAACTTCTCCACTGTAGCCCAACCCCTAACTAGGTTGATAAGTCCCAAGGTGGATTATGTTTGGACCCCTGAGTGCCAGCATGCATTTGAGTGTGTAAAGACACTTTTAAGTCACGCTCCTGTGCTCGCTGCTCCCGATCTTGCGAAGCCCTTTAAACTCGAGGTGGATGCTAGTGCAGTGGGATACGGTGCTGTTTTACTGCAGGAAGATGCGGCGGGAGTTGATCATCCTGTCTGCTATTTCTTCCGTAAGTTCAACAAACACCAGGTACGCTACTCTACCATTGAAAAGGAGACCCTTGCTTTGTTGTTAGCTCTCCAGCACTTTGAGGTTTATGTCGGGTCTAGTTCTTTGCCGGTTGCAGTGTTTACCGATCATAACCCCATTGTCTTTTTGTCCCGCATGTACAACCACAATCAGCGTCTCATGCGGTGGGCTCTGATCGTTCAGGACTACAACCTGCAAATCCGACACAAGAAAGGCTCAGAGAACGTGTTCGCAGATGCTCTGTCCAGACTGGAGTGATGTGTTCTGTGGTCATGGTGTGTGATGTGTTATGGTTCACAAAAACCCTGTGGGGTTTGTGTTTTAAGGGGGGGGGGGGGTGTTACAGCCGCTGCTACCTTGTGAGCTTAAGTCTGTTGGTGTATGTAAATGAGCTGTGCAGTTCCTCTGCTGTCATTGGCCGTCCGGACCGCTCAACATCCGCGGGGATTGGACAGACGTCGCCCAACCCCTGCTCGCTGCTGTCACGTCATCCGGGGGAGGAGTATAAAGGCTGAGCACGGACAACAGTCGAGAGGCTCTGTATTTTGTGTCAGATGCCTCAACCCTATCCTTGTGATAAGCCTTCCTTCTGTGAATTCTGAGAGTATTTAGCCGTGTGTCTTTTGTATTAGCTCCACTGATTAGCAGTGTCTGTAGTAGGGTTCTAGGCGAGCACACTGAGTAGCAGTGTGTCGTCGGGTTCTGTGTTAGCGTAGGGATTTTGTGTGTGTGTATACTGCTTAGATCCAGGTTGGTTAGCACCTGTCGACCAGCATTCCTGTGTGTTTATACTGCTTAGATCCAGGTTGATTAGCACCTGTAGACCAGCGTTCCTGTGAGTGGATATTGCGTAGAGCCAGGTGATTAGCACCTGTAGACCCGCACCAGCTGTGTGTTTCCACAGTCCCGTTTTGTTTATTGTTTGTTTCCACTTTAGTAGTGAGATTTGTTTTTCTTTGTGTAGCGGGGCAACTCTCTTTTGGAGACCCTTTGTGTTGTGTTATAGTGACAGATTGACCCGTGTTGTGGGGCCAATCTGTGTGACCATCATTTTTACTTAGTTTCAGTAACAATAAAACCACCGGTAACGAATATACCAAATCCAATCTGGTCGTGTCGTTTCCCGTTTGTACCCTAGCCAAGTGGGAACGTAACAGATGGCAACCGACAAAATGGAGCAAGTTGTGTTCTGACCACTTCGCGTGTGATGCATACGACGTTGATCCTGCTATCATGAAGTCTGTTGGTGGAGAAGCATTAATAGCACGTCGGAGGCTGAAACCCGGAGCCGTCCCCTCCACATTTCAGCACAAGAAACCACTGAAAGAACGAAAGAGCCGGGCGATGCAGAAACGCCAAAGAATTGAGGTAAACAACTTTTCATTAGATTTCAAAGCGCACGGAGCACAGCAGATAACGCAGATAACGGAATTGCAGTTGTATTGCTTATAGAGGTGGGCACCGTTAGATTCTGTGTCTTTACGATCATAAACAATGTGTTGGATGTGGAGCTAGGATAAGTAATAAGGGCGCTAGGAGTGATAGGTTAGCATTTTTCGCTCGGGGCTAATTCACTACACGCATTGTAGTTTATCTGCAGCTCATTCATCGCTCCTCCACTCATAACGGAAAATGTCGAACGTCCTACAGTCGGTGATGCGGACTTCTTCTCCCATCTCTTCCTTCACTTTCCCATAGTTGTGGCAGCACTTGTTTTCTCGGCTTGTAGGCATGGTCTGGCAGTTTCCACATCTACACCAATTCTCAGCACCCTCGGCCTCTTCCTCAGATGTCGAACTTGAATCATCGCCATCAGCACTTTCATCTGTGATATCAGGTGACGTTTCCTTGTATTTCCTCTTCGACATCAGAAGCTCGTATATATATGGTTGGATGTCGACAACATACTCCAGATATTGGGTGGCCTCCGACTCAGAATCAGACATGATAGACGAAACTAAGTTGTACTATTGGCGGAAGCCGCTGTGAGCCGCTGCGAGCATTTTTCGCTCGGGGCTAATTCAGAGGCTCACTCAGAGCGCCTGGACTTTATTTTTCTAAACCTCTCTAAAAAGGTCAAATTTCACTTGTTTTGCATCAATCTTGATACAGGGTACTTATTATATGTTATAGTTTGGATTCCTAAAGCTTTTAGTCTATAGTCTACTCAGAATCAGACATGATAGACGAAACTAGTTGTACTATCGGCGGAAGCCGCTGTGATTGATAAGCCAGGTGGAAATATGTTTGGCACATCTGACGTCACGCGCCGCCATCTTGCGGAGGAGCGGCGGAGAAAATAAATCGTCGGACTTGGTGTTGGGGGTTGAACAAAATTAATATTGCGCATTGCCAGACTCATATTATCTCCGATTTTAATACTGCAATATCTTAGATAGTGTTGTAGCTATATGATTTCGATTTTACTGGCAATTATACAAAAAGCTTTGCATTTGATCTTTAAGTTAAACCAAATCATTAAAATAAAATCTAATGTAATGATTTGGTTTAACCTTATTTATTGAATACATCATTTAAAATGGCAAGATTAAATCAAATTACATCCATGTTGTACACATCATAAAGCTTAAAGTGGCAGCTAAAGAATTAACACAGCAGCAGGTCTGTTCAATTCATGCTCATTAAGCTTCATGTGTGCGGATCTGAAGGGACTGATCATTTGTAGCCTGTCCACCTATCAGTTTTGCAAACATTAAGAGGGAGGAGCATTTCTAATTATGGAACCCAGTCACTGGTGTGGTTCATCATCATGACTGAATTAACAAACCTATATAAAGCAATGGAGATCACCTTTGTCTACAGTGGGTAAAATGGAATTTGTGGTGCTTACACTGTGTGACGAACAGGGAGACATCACTGCAAGAGTCTCACAAGACATTTCCCAAAGACTACAAAATGGTGAGTAAACAACTAAATTGCATTCCAACAATCTGGATATGATTTTAAATGATGTAAATTATTTTTCAGATAACAGTTTAGCAGCTGCACTTATGCAGCAAGCAAGGGCTGCAACAAATGCACAAGGTAATCTATCATTTAAATCAAAAATGGTATTGTCTTTTAATGCAAATCAAACAAATGACATATTCATGTTTATTGTAAACAAATATTAATTTTCTCTCAATCACAGTCCCTTTAGATCTGTCTTCAGATGCTAGGCCTGCTCCTGAAAGGCCTGCTCCTGATGAAAGACCTGCTCCTGACAAAAAGGCCTGCTCCTGATGAAAGGCCTGCTCCTGTAAGGCCTGCTCCTGTAAGGCCTGCTAGATCCCAAGCTGGCACTCCTCACCTGGCATCCCCCTCCAGCCGGTCAGAACACCTTGAGGCCACACAAGGTACAGTAACTAAAATGAGGATCTAAACAGCAAATGCTATTTGTTTGAGTTACTAACACTTGTGTCTTAACAGATTTCACACACAACACCATACTGCTGCTTTTGGACCTGACAAAAACACACCAACAGGTGTACTATCACTCCAAACCCGGTTTTTACAAAATTCTACAACGGCAGTTCAGCAAGGAGGGATACAGTTTCTCCTCAGACAAAATCCGGAAAAAACTCAACAACCTTTTGACCACCTACAAAAGGGCCAAGGACCGTTGTACCTCAACAGGAGAGGGGAACATAACGTGGGAATATTATGGGGTAAGAAGTTTGTTCTTGCACATCTAGTTGGTAAAAGCAACATTTCCATTTTAACAATTCTGCAATTCCACAGATAATGGACAACCTGTTTGGGAGGTGCGGTGTTGGGAGCGCACCTCCAGGCACTCTTGTTTCCACCCCTCTATTACCCACTGCCTCACAACCATCCACCACACTGCCGTGTGCCTCTGAGGCCCAGCCTGGTCCCTCCATGACCCTGCCCACCACACTGCCGTGTGCCTCTGAGGCCCAGCCTGGTCCCTCCATGACCCTGCCCACCACACTGCCGTGTGCCTCTGAGGGCCAGCCTGGTCCCTCCATGACCCTGCCCACCACTCAGCCGAGATCAATCCGGTCTCGAGTCTCCCATCCCTCCTTCTACGACCTGTATGAGGCCCACTCGGAGAGGAGGACCAGTGCACTGGAGACACTGGTGCGGCCAGAACAGGAGCGCCGGAGAAGGCTGAAGGAGAGAAATAGGAGGAGGTTTGAAGCTAAAATGTTGACTGCGATGGGAGAAGTTGTTTCCCAGTTAAAGTCCATTGGGAGCCAACAAGAGCGCATCATTGAGCTTTTGCAGGACAAGCCCAATATTCCATAATTTCCCCCACACTGGGTATTCCCTGAATTAATTTGTTTATAAAGAACACCACCTCAGTTTGTTTATGGAAGTAATATTGTTTAGATTAGTTATTTATTTTCCTCGTTATGCAGTTGAGTTATTATTTCATCCCTGGCAATTGCCTTGTAATATTTGTATTTGTATACACTAAGTGTTCACAATGTTTATATGCAATTATTATTTATTTGCCAAGTACATGTGTACATATGTATATATAGTTATTTCATTTTCAAAGAAGAAATCTGAGCTCATTTCCTCATATTCCAAAAGAGAAATTACGGTAGCAAATCACCCGGTTCTTTACGACCAGAACTATTAACGGGATACAAACCGGAGGAACCAGGCATGGAGGGAGGTGGTAGAGACAGTGGGTGAAACTGGTAGGTTTTCGCCTGTGTGGGGAGTTTATATATATATATATATATATATATATATATATATATATATATATATATATATATATATATATATATATATATATATTGCTCGCATAAAATCCCCGGGGTTTTTTGCTTTGTATCTCGGGGGCGGGAGATTCATGTGATTGGTTGTTGGTCTCGTTGCTCGCAAAAAATCCCCAAGCTTTCAGACCCGCCCAGCTCCAAGATTTTCAAGATTTTTGAAAAGCTGCAGTGTGGACGTACCGTTAAGGCTGCGGGCGTCTTTGTCCCGCGAGATTTCAACGTCTCATGTAGGCGAGCCTCCAGAGCAAGTCGGACAAAATGACTAACCATCATGCAACGCACTAGCAAGACGTTGATCGCAATTGCGCAGGTCTCGCTTGTCTCAAACAAGCCTACTGTCTTCATACATACAGTACATGCAATATTGTCTTCATACATACACTGAACAAAAATATAAATGCAACACTTTTGTTTTTGCTCCCATTTTTCATGAGATGAACTCAAAGATCTAAAACATGTTCTATATACACAAAATAACCATTTATCTCAAATATTGTTCACAAATCTGAAAAAATCTGTGATAGTGAGCACTTCTCCTTTGCCGAGATAATCCATCCCACCTCACAGGTGTGGCATATCAAGATGCTGATTAGACAGCATGATCATTGCACAGGTGTGCCTTAGGCTGGCCACAATAAAAGGCCAAACACAATTGGACGGTAGATGCACGGATTATCTACAAACTAATGCATTTAGTTTTGCAAAGAAAAAAGGCATCTATCAAACAAACACAATCCGTGTATAGTAGTTATACACATACCACTTCAATCTCATTAGTATGCATAGAAAGTGACAGGTGGTGTGACAGGTCACACCTCTCCCTACTTATTAAGCCCCGCCCCTTCCGAATATGCCCCGCCCCCTCCGGCGGAAGTCCCGCGCCATAAGCCCCGCCCCTTCCGGTGGATGTCCCGCCCCCACATCCGGTTTTCAAAATAAAATATAAAAATTATTTAAAAATGAGAAAAATAAAAATGCTGCCCCTACCGGTCGCCCCCACTACCGGTTTTCAAAATAAAATATTAAAATAATTTTAAAATGAGAAAATAAAATGCTGCCCCCTACCGGTTTTACAAAATAATAATTTTAAAATGAATCACATAGTATGCATAGGATTAATGTCCCGCCACCTAACCACTTCCTGCCCCCCTAATCCTGTATACAGTATTGACTGTAACTTTACAAATACTTGCAAATAACATGAAATATAGCAACCATATATTTAAAAAAGTAATGTCAATCTCTCTAACCCTCTCTCTGCTCTAAAGAGCAATGTCCCGCCACCTAACCACTTCCTGTGCCCCTAATCCTGTATACAGTATTGACTGTAACTTACAAATACTTGCAAATAACATGAAATATAGCAACCATATATTTAAAAAAGTAATGTCAATCTCACTAACCCTCTCTCTCTCTCTCTGCTCTAAAGAGTGCCGTGAAAAGTTTTGTGAACAGTCTGAAGACAAGCCAGGACACGTGTGAGAGAAATCATAAAACCCCCGACATCCTCTACAGGCAAATGGCGGGCGATGGGGAGGGGGAACACACACACACACACACACACACACACACACACACACACACACACACATCCCCCGCCCCTCACCCCCTCTTCCGTTATGGGGGTTGGATAAATAAGAGCCAGTCGTCTTTGTCACTCTTCAATATTTTTTCAAGTCGAGAGAAATGACAAAGAGACGTCTTGATATGGGTGTAATCTGCGAGACACCGCTAGATTTGATTCAGGGTTTGTTTTAAATGGTTTGTGCTGGCTAAGGATGTTTCTTTTCAAGTTTTTGTGAAACTGTTAAGAAGTATCTGTTTTGCAAAGAGGTTATTTTCAAAAGATCTTATTTAGGTTTTAATAGTGATACCTAAGGATATTCTCTTTTAGTTGTATGGATTTGTGAACTAATGTGTAATTACTTTTATTAACTATAATTGCACAGGATCATTCTAAGAAGAGTGAGAGGGCTAATGAGCCAGCACCATACCTCCTCTATGCATTTTCTTGACCTGTATCTGATCTTGAAAAACTTGACTCTTTTAAAAAAAGTTATTTTTTCATCTATCATTTTCAACCATGCAGCAAGAGATCAAATTTAAGAATAAGTAATAGTTTGTCACGATTTTACGGGAAATAGTCAGTGCGCGATGTCACATCTTAAAGACAGCTTGAACTGGATAAATGGTTAGTCTTTTTTCAAACATACCGTACGTTCTGCATGTTAGTATATCTGGTCAATCGATTTAGACCCTACTGCCCTAGACGTATGTCTCAATAGGGAAGTCACGCTTTGGGAAGAGGTGTTTCATTTCACAGATCCACCTTGATTGCTGTGTGAGGGGTGAAGGAAGAGGGACGGGGGAGGAAAATTTAGAGGATGAAGAAGCAGAAAACATAACTTGTTTTGTAAAACGGACAGCACGTCAGTTTCAAGAAAGACGTTTGCATACATAAAAAAGTGTATCTTACAGTTCCTTTTGTGAGAGAATTACACACAAATCTGCAGAGTGTCACTAAAAAGTTGTACACAGGGACTGACATTCTGTATGGGGGTTTCACACGGACACAAAGTCTACTTCATTATCTACTTTTTCAGCTTTTATACACAAAAGTGTATCCTTCAGTAACTTTCTCCGAGAATTTAAGCACGTCAGTTTCAAGAAAGACGACAATAATTAGTAGTTAGACATTTTGGATATCGTTAGTTCTGGCAGTACTATTCCGGGTCATTGGGAAACTTTTTGGGACCCATTTAAAACCATTTAAAAGAGAAATGTTCTCTGTCGTTCTTAATGCAAAAACAAATCATCTCTACTCCCTTTGGGTGAAGTCCAGGAATGTTCTCGGGGGGAGTGAACACTTGCTGTTACATGGCATAAAGCTTCTGCAGTGTGCCAATAAATGTATAGTTTCCCTAAAGCTCCATACATTTACACATATTGACTAATGACTCAGCACATGAGGGGTAAATACAAAACAAATCTAAATATCACCAATTATTCCAGAATGTGACTAGAATAGAGTCTAGAGAATGGACCCAGGCTTTGTCTTCAGCCACCAACTAAATAGGGGCGTGCTTTATTGAATCACCAGTATGTTACTCACCATTTAAGACAGTGTTGAGGGGGGCAAGCAAAGTGTACTCAGCGGCAGATTGCATGGAAGCAGAAAGGCCTAGCTCAGACACCATGTCTCCAAAGGTTGACTGGGAACTTCCAACCAGTTCCATCACCTGTTTAGCTTGAGGCACAAAGGGAATTTAAACACCATTAAAAATATGGATTACAGAAAAACAATATATGTATTAATGTAGTAAATCGGGTAATCATTAATAAGGGGGAAATGTGCAAGTCTAACCTGAGTCTGGCATGAGCACTTGATCAATAAGGTGGATGACAATGTCCTTCTTGAGCACCATCTTGATGCCATTGACTGTTAAACTCTCGCCATCACAGCCTTGAAATCAAAGTAACGCTTCTAAAAAACATATATTTTAGAAAAGTAATGTTAGTCATGTCAAGTTATCAAGACTGCTGTGTTTCATCGAAACAGTGTTAAGAGTCACAGTCTTAAAGAAAATCTGGTCAGAAAAAGTACTTAACTTTCTACCAGTTGTAAGTTGTCATACATATAAAAAAAGGTAAGAGACTTACTGTTTCCTTTGTGAGAGAATTACACATAAATCTGCAGAGTGTCTGTAAAAAGTCTAAAAATCTCCATTGAAATAGCGTTAAAATCAAAAAGTGCCTCTAAAGAAAATGTATTCAGATAAAAGTATTTTATTTTCAGAAATGTTTAAGGTTTTGCATACATAAAAAGTGTATCTTACAGTTCCTTTTGTGAGAGAATTACACACAAATCTGCAGAGTGTCACTAAAAAGTTTTACACAGGGACTGACATTCTGTATGGGGGTTTCACACCTGAGCTGCTGCGGGGGGAGGGCGTTGAAAAGGGGGTGAGTATGTTTGGCTCTCGGGGGGATGGTGTGTTAAGAGTCACAGTGTTAAAGAAAAATCTGGTCAGAAAAAGTACTTAACTTTCTACCAGTTGTAAAGTTGTCATACATATAAAAAAAGTAAGAGACTTACTGTTTCCTTTGTGAGAGAATTACACATGAATCTGCAGAGTGTCTGTAAAAAGTCTCAAAATCACAAACTGCCATTAAGAGTCAGATTCTTAACAAAATCTACTAATACAAAGTACTTAATTATCTACTTTTTAGCTTTTATACACAAAAGTGTATCCTTCAGTAACTTTCTCAGAGAATTTAAGCATAAATCTGCCAAATGTTTCAAAAAACAGCCTTGTTTCACTGAAATAGCCTCAGAATCACAAACTGCCATTAAGAGTCAGATGCTTTACGGAATCTAATAAAACAGAGTACTTTCATGGTAGTGGTCAGCTTTTAAACATAAAAGTGTATCTTTCAGTATATTTTTGAGAGAATTAAGCGTAAATCTGTCAAATGTTCAAAACTGCCTTGTTTCACTGAAATAGCCTCAAAATCACAAACTGCCATTAAGAGTCGGATGCTTTTACGGAATCTAATAAAACAGAGTATTTTCTACAGATGACTCCTCCCACTCAACACAATAAGTCCCACCCCACTCAGCAAATCATATAAAACTAAGGACCCCCACTAAGACGACCGTTGAAAAGTAGCCATGAATCTGAGAAAAACCAAGTCTGATGTAGCCTCCCCTTATTATCACCAGGATAACGGATATGGGCTTAATGACTGGATGTTACAAAGTAGGGGAGAGGATGTTCCCGAAGAAGAGCCCTCCTCTATATCATATCCATGTAAGGTCT